TAGATCTAGATGTCCCAGTGGACCACTTCTTAGTACGAGTCAGCAGTGTGCTGCAGCTGCCAAAAAGGCCAACGCAGTCCTAGGCAGCATGAAAAGAGGCATAGCAACAAAATCACAGGAAGTGAAAGTATCACTCTGTGCTACACTGGTGTGGCCGCATTTGGAACACTTTGTCCAGTTCTGATCACAATAGGAAAAGGATGCTGAGGCCCTGGAGGGAGGGCAGAGAAGAGCAACAAAGATGAGGGATCTGAAAGTTAAATCCTATGAAGAACATTCAAAAGAACTAGGTGTGTTTAGCTTAAAAAAGTGAAGAGTGAGGGGACACATGACAGCAGTCATCCAATATACGAAGGGCTGCCACAGGGAAGAGAGAGTCGGTTTATTCTCTATAGCACCTGAGGATACGAAAAGAAGCAATGGGTGGAAACTCAACAGAAAAAAGGTGGAATTTGCTTACATAAGAACTATTGATTGCCTCCTGGAGTTTTGGATGCTCCATTGCTGGAGGTTTTCAAGACTGGACAACCATTCATCTGAAATGGGTATGAGGACTTCTACCTTGGGCAGAAGATTAGACTAGAAGACCACCAAGCCTTATGAGTCTATTATTTGAACATCTGGCTGGCAAAACTTAAAAAATAATCTAAGCAGGTTCAGATCCTGTTTTACTTAGAAGATCTAAGTAAAATCTAAGAACTATACGAAGTAACAAAAAAAAACCCACCCTGAAAATGGTAAAGATCATCCAGAAGAATATTAGAAAACCAGTTGGTTATGTCCACATCTTCACTAGATGTTAGGCTCAAGTTATACTTTATCTTTCAATGACAATTGCTTCTCCTTTGCTTCTAGTTACTCAGCAATTTATTCTCTTATCAGCTAGCTACAGTTAGTAAAAATACAAAGTCAGATGTGAGCTCATAAGATTAGAGAATACATGCCTTTTTCTTCTCCTCCTGGATTCTGAATTTTGTTTCTTGTTTTGTTGTACATATCCTGAATGAAGGGAACCCATACAAAAGCAAACATAGGAACAAATGAACCATGAATCAATCTTAGGTGGAATTTTCGTGGTTATTGAAAAAGAACCAAGCAGGACATTTTGAACTGGGATTACAATCCCTAGGAATAAGTATGTGTACACTTAGGACCAAACCATGGTGCTAATTCCTCCAGCCTTTCAGTCTGAAGCCCAGGGACGTCAAATCCCTTTTTTGCAGTTTTCAGAGTCATCTTGACTTTGTTTGCTAGAAATTGGCATCATAGTTTCACATTGCTCTCAGGTAGAAAGCATATTAAAATTATCATGTAATAAGTTAAACTAGACTTAAGTATGGTGTGTGCAAAGAAAACTGTCCCTGTATAAGGGAGAGAATTGTTTCTACTCGCTTTCCATAACAATATACTCACTGCAATGTCAATCAAAGCCCCTAATGTCAATCAAAGCTCCTAATCACCCCCAAGTGTCTTTTTGGAATTTCAAAACAATGAGACTGGGAACTGTTTTTATTACCTTTACATTAAAATATGGCAAGGTTTCTCAAAAGATAGATGAAGTTTGTGACTTTATCAATTCAGTACTATAATCAATGCACTGTAACTTTAAATGCTTATTGAATCTCATTGCTACCTAGAAGTCACTGCTACTTAGAACTACCAATTAATACTACAAAAAAAATCGCTTCAGAATATGCTAGGCACATTTAGTTGAAAATAATTTCAAAGTACCAATGGATCTGTTAACATGTAGCCCAATTCTGTGCTGGATTCTTAGGAAAAATACTGTATTTTGGACAGAAGCAAATCACTGTGCCTTTTTTGAAATTCTATAATATTATGCAAAAAATTATTTATACAAGGTAAAAGCAAGAAGACAACTTCTATTTCTGAATAATATGGAGGGGGAAAAAGAAAATCCAATTCAAGGATATTTTTTTAATAAAAAAAACCTGATATACACTAGAACAAGCTTCCAAGTATGTGGGCAGTAATCTTAGTCAAAACATATATTTGTCCGTAAAGGTATTAGGAGCTGTTTTTTCTATGCAAATAAATATCAGTCCTTATTAGCTTTAGCACTCCTGTAGAAACACAAACACAAATAACGTTTTCAAAGGATCTTTGATTCTAGGTGCCAAAAATATTTAAATTGTTAAAGAGTTGAATAGTATCAGTTCCTAAGCTATAGAGCTATCTGTAAAGTAAGATTATCTATTCTTTTTAACAATTACCTATTCTTTAACTTAAAAAAGAGTTGTATTTAATCAGTTTAAACTAATTTATGCATGGCAAATTCAATCATCCCTAAGATTATCTAACACTCTCACATGATTTCTGGGATCAGGTGATTATAAACGACTCATTGATTTAACGCTGTCAAATTTAAGAGTACAACTAATTTACTCTATAATCTTTGTTAACCTGAAATTGAAAGCATAATCTGGGTAAATTATTTATTAAATGGACTAATTTAAATTCTATTCAATGGACAGAATAACAGAAATTTATCCT